AATTTTCAGAAAAACTCAGGAGCGTAAAATCTATGCATTGTCCCTATTCTAAGAGGGTAGCTTGAAAGTAGCTGTATGCCTGCTTTATAAATTGCCTTCATCAGAGTAGTATTTGTTTGAAATAAATGTTTTACCTCCTAACATCCTGATAATTTTCTAACATCAGAGAAACTGTAAATGACATCACATCTTTCTTAAATGTTTCTGAAATACTTTATTTTAGAGCAGTGAGAAAGCTGCTTAAAACAAATACAGAGGTAGCAGTTAGAGAAAGAGCAGTAATAGCTCTTTTAGTAACAAGATATCAGAGTTGTACAGAAAGCATAATTGGCCTCCATTGGGGTGTTTCAGGAGAAGTTCCTAATGTAGATTTCAGAGTTACGAAATGGCTTTAATAATGTTATTACTTCCACAAAACTTGAGAATTAAACACACATTTTGTTTTAAATAGGCTTCATCATTAATAAGTCCATCATCCTCAACCCTTAATGAAAATCTTGGGGATAAGTTTTCACCAGGACCTGGGGGAGAAGCATGCATTACAGGTGGGTATGTTTAATTATTGTATCATATGTTCCTTGTGACATCTCTATTGCTTAAAATCCTATTTTTAAAAGAAGTAATATTCTGTATAATTATAGGAAAAGTCTGTTTACCTGAGCTTTAATCTCGACTGCAGTTCACTAAGCATGTGATTTTTTAGAAACAGTGCTTAACCTCTCAGTGTCAGAGTTTCTTCAGTTCATAATAACAATAGCACTACTAATATATGTGTCTGTTGTGAAAATTAAGCGGACGGCGCATTTTAGCTGTTAACCCAGTTCCTGACACAAATTGAGTGATCACTGAATTTGAACTCATATTAATCAAAACCAAACTCAAACCCATTGTTGCTGCTTTGATTCTGATTCACAGTGATCTTATAGGACAAAATAGAACTGCCACCATAGGGTTTCCAAAATTATAAATCGTTACAAAAGCAGATTGTTATTATTTTGCTCTAAGGGAAAGATTGGTGGACTCAAACTATTCTTTAACATAGTTGATGCTGTTGTTAAGTGCCATTGAGTTGGTTTTGACTCATAGAGACCCTGTATAGGATTTCCAAGGAGCCACTGGTGAGTTTGAACCGCCGACCTTGTGATCCAGTGCTTTGTCCCACAGTGCCACACTAGGACTCCATATCATTGTAATTGGGTAATTTAACCACTGTGCTACCAAGCTTAAGGACTCCTGGTGTGAGACTGTAGGATGAGACTGAACCACAAGGTTGGCTGTTCATATTCACCAGCTACTCTTTGGAAACCCTGTACAGAGTTGATATGAGTAAAAACCACCTGGACAGCACTTAACAGCAATAATATGGGTCAGTTTGAGCCACAAAGTTGTCAATTCAAAGCCACCAGCCACTCCTTGGAAACCCTATACAGGATCGCTATGAGTTGAAACGGAATTGATGGCACTTACCAACCCTGTATACGGTTTCTGAGGAGCAACTGGTGAGTTTGAACCACTGACCTTGCAGTTCAAACCTGCCTCGCTGTCCATTCTCCTGAAGCGCCACACTAGGACTTCATAATAGTTAAGTAAGCTTTTATAGTGAAACTAAGCTGGATTTGAATCTATGCAGAGCTATGTAAGCAAAATGATTAACTTCCCTAAAGCTGTATATTAAGACACTCTAGTGGTGCAGTGGGTTAAGCATTGAGCTACTAGCTGCAAGATCAACAGTTAAAACCTACCAGCTGCTCTGCAGGAGAAAGATTAGACTCTTTGCTCCAGTAAAGATTTCTGTTCTTGGAATCCCTGAGATGCCCTTCTACTCTGTCCCTATAGGGTCACTATGACTTGATGGCAGTGGATTTTTTGTTTTAAACTGTATGTTGATCTTTAGAATGAGTATAGTTCTCATAACCTTACAGGTTGTGAAAACTAAATAGACTAATATGTGTGAAGTGCTTAGAACGCTACCATAGTAAACACACAGTAAGTGTGAGGGGTGAATGGTTAATTTTATTTCATTCCTTAGAGCTATGACTTGCAGCTTACTGAGAAGTAAAAGGCATAGCTGTTCCTAAACCCAGGATGTATAACGAGCATTTATTAAGTGCTTACTATGTAGTATAATTTTTGTCATTTTGCAGATGAGAAAAACTAAAGTGCAGAGATATTGGGAAACATACCCAAGGTCAGTGATAGAGCCACAATTTAAATCTTTGGCTCCAAAATCCTTGTTCTTTTTAATGACTAGATTAACAGCACTAAAGAATCTAATTAATAGTGATACTTTGAGTCATGTACATTCTCTTAAGATGTGAATGTGTAATTATAATAAAAACAATGTTTTAAATTTAGCTTACCTCAGAATGAGTATAACTAAAATGGATTCAATGAAAGCAAAAGAATTAAGACATTTGTCAGTGAAGATACAGGGTTGATCAAGAGATGGATCCTATTAGAATTGAAAGCTGGTGATTCTTAAAAGAACGGTGTATGATTTCTGTTACACAAAGTGTGGTAGACTCAGAGTAAAAGAAAAGCGCATCTCCTGTCGTGCCAGAGCTTCAGCGTGCCCCTGGGAGCTCTGAGAGAAAAGGTCCTGGGACTGCTTTTGCTGCCCGTTTAGGTATAGAAGACTACACTGCATCATGTGTGGGGTTGGACTTCTGGAGACTAGCTTATTGC